ATAAATAGATTTTAACAGATTTAGCATCACAAAAAGTATTCGAACTTTCTTTCATCAGAAAGTTAATAAGGAACAACGGTACATGGTGAGTTTGATATTATGATCTTAGGTTTGATCTTACATTAAAACAAAACCATTAATTTACTATGTCATCTCATTACAACTTTCTATTGACTGTAATTTCGTTTCAAAATGGTCGTTTGTGTTTTGTCTATGTTACTTGACCAGTACCATCTTTGAATTGGTTCTCAAGACTAGTGCCTTTGGCGCGCAAACTATTTGCAGATTCGTTTGATCCTAATTCCTAAGACCCCACCTTACAGCGTGAGAGCTATATTATGTTGTTTGTTTTTTAAATAATGGTTTATCAGATTTTTTATGAGTAAAAGTTAATCAAAATGAACGACAGAGCATGGTTGATTTTGATCATATAGTATAAAAGGCGGCATATTTCAACTTTAATCATTTAACACCGTCCATAAAAATAAAATAAAAAATACTATATTCTGTCTTTACCATAATTTAGCTTCAGAAAGAATCGTCCATACTTTGACAAAGTTGTCTAATCATTATCATCTTTCTTTTTAATTCAAAAGACTGATGCTATTAGTGGGCTGAATCTTCTCTGAAGGTGACAGCTTTCTTAGTGTCTGCTAACGACAGATCCTCACGACATCACGCTGCGAAAATTGCTTGTGTTTGCCGGTGCTAACTTCTGTTTGTACCAAAACAACATTTAACACAATTTAGAATTTTTCATGAAGAAAATTTGATAGCGCTTAACCCACGATTAATCAGATCATTATCAAGACGGACCAATCAGTGCCCTCTTGAGACTTCTGTTCGTTGCAGACGACAATGAACAGTGATGAAGGGAGCCATCTTAGGTGCATTTGTTTTCCAGAGATCTCTACAATTAGCCTTACCAGCCCTCTCCATCAAACTGCAATTTGACAGATTGTACATGTGATATGCAAATTGGGTTTGGCGTCCGATGAATAGAATTTTAAAAGCTAACGGTGTATTGTATGGGAATATTCGAAATTATATATTCTCTGGAATATCATGCAATTTGTTGGGGTTTTCTTTGTTCTCTCTCTCTCTCTCTCTCTCTCTCTCTCTCTCTCTCTCTCTCTCTCTCTCTCTCTCTCTCTCTCTCTCATTTATGATAAAATAAATATGAGCAAGTGATTTCTTGTGGGTTAATTTTTTTATTACACAAGTCCATAATCAAAGCAGTAATATACGTTTTAATAAAACATCAGTACGAACAAACAATGTTTTTACAAAATGTGTGCATGGTTTAGATTTTTAACGTAGCTTTAACAATTTTCAGTCATATCGCTACGATGTCTGCAGTGTGACAGTTTACAGTGAAGTCTAGCACTGGAGCATCATGCCGCAGACATGTAACATGATGTCCCACCCAGTCACATTATCCTGACACAAGGACGATTACTCCTAACACTAACCTCTTAATGCTGATCGCCAAGAAGGCAGCTGTTAGTACCATTTTTTTGAAGTCTTTGGTATGACTTGGCCGGGGTTGGAACCCGCGACCTCCTGCATCCGAGGCAGACGCTCTAACCACTAGGCCACCTGAGCGGTCTCTACAAAATCTAAGATAACACTTACGAAAAGAAAAAAATATAGAACGAAACAAAACGTACGGTATCGCTGGAATTGGCTCTATCTAACAATATGGAAACCACATGTATGATGCCAGGTGCACATGAAGAAAAGTTAGTAAAACATCTCGATATGGAATTTTTAGATTAAAAATATGAAATTTATCTTTTGAACATCATGTTTCCAAGTAAAAACTTCTTTTAAGAAACAATTCATTGCAATAAAAGTTTAAAATATCAAATAAATCGGCATAGAATGAAGTATTATAAAAAATAAATAAATTCACAGATAAATGGTATTGATTTATGAAATATTTAATAAAGTTGGCATGAAAAGGTTACTATGATTAGAAAACAGCAACAAAAATCATCGAATATACTATCGTATTATTAATGTAAATTCAAATAGATTTTTACTTTTTAAAAAAAAACGAAACGAAATAACAGCATCTTTGATAAGTAAATTATACCCAAGTAAACTGACTCTTGCTTTAAAAAATGCGAGTTTTAATGGATAATTCAAACGAATGGCATTTGTTAAATTTCATCAAATCAACTAGTAGTTTTGCTATTTTCACAAATGTGGCTGCTTTCCCTGACGTATTTTGGACACTTTTAATCATCTTGAATGCTTTTTGTTATCAACTGAAATTGTATTACAGTGCCTTTTTATTGATTGTCCGATCCACTGCTTCACCCAATAAAATAAGGAAAGAAATTTAAAATAAAATTAAAAATCCCTTTGTGTGAAAGCTTGGACCACTTTTTGATGTTTGAATTGTTAGGTGCATATTTTACATTTGTCCATTCAGCATTCAACACTAAAGAGTTTTACACTAAAAAAATATTTAACAATTTTATATTTAAATATAAATGTTCACACCTTCTAATGTACTTTTTAAAATACATCTTGTTTTCTTCACTATTCAAAAATCTTTTCCGGAATCTAAAGAGGGACCGCTTTATTACGCTTGGTGGTTTAACAGGTGTTCAACCCCTGATTAATTATTGGCTCTGACTCCGCCTCATTACCAACCCTCTCAGCAGGATTGTAGTCAAAGTTGTCAAGCACTAATGAACACTTGTAGGGTAAAACATGTTGCCTTGGTATTTTTAGGACAACTATTGGCAAATGTAATTTTATTTATTTATTTTAGTTTTGACAGGAAAATGATTTTGTTAATAAAGAACTCGAAAATAGTAATGAATTTATTAAACAGGTGAGACCTATGATTTAATTCCCATGATTTGCTGCTTGTAGGTTTAGTATTAAAAACAAAGTCCACAACTGACTGAGATTGTACATTTTACAGTTTATTCCCGTTTTCTCGGAGAATTTTTTAAAATAAAAATTGTATATTCAAAGAAGACAGTGGTGTCAAATGTTTTTATTTATTCTAAAACAAAATTATAAATATTTTTATTTTCTTGCAGTATGTAAGCAACAAGAGAAACCAGCTAAGTGTAATTCACAAAAAAAGCTTTGCACAAGTTTAAGGATAAAATAAACGCAAAATAACGTGCACCTTATTGAATTTATCTTCTTACATCATGACACTGTCTAGTTACATTTCATTTACTGCATGCCTTTAATTTTACTTGATACCAGCTACCAATTTTATGACGACAGGGTCATGTGTAGTCAAAATGGATGCATACTTATTCTATGATTACGTATTATGTACAAGTTAGATATTTTCAATTAGGAAGAAAATGACACTTTTCTTGCCACATAAAATTTTAACACACATACACACACACACACACACACACACACACACACACACACACACACACACACACACATATATATATATATATATATATATATATATATATATATATATATATATATATATATATATATATATATATATATTGAACAGTTATAATAAATATAATTAAATAAAACTAAGTTACAATTGTAAAGAAATACAAGAATAATGAAAGAGCTGGTGCTAGAAGACACTCAACCCTGTAATTATTTCAAAATATCAGTAAGTTTTAGCTAAATATGCATATGCATGGAATGGTAGGATCACATTGATAAGGATCAACCATATATGACATCACACAATTTTGGTTGAGTTTTGCCCCTTCAAACTTATCATATTTCTTCACACAAACTCAGATCCCCTCATATTTGACCCCACAAAGCTTGACCCACCATAAAATTTTTTTAAAAAATGGTTTGAAATTACTTTGTATTTAAAACAAAACACACACAACGATACAAGACAGTGTTCTAAATTGAATGCCTATAAACTATGCTGATCAATCCGGGTTTTGTCCTCGGGAAACACATAATAAAGAGAAAAAATTATGGTTAGGAAAAGGACTTAAAATAAAGTTGCAGACATCTCATCTCATGAATTTATTTCTCAATGTTCTTTCTCCAGTCTAAATGTATTCCCATTTTCTCATCCTCCCATGGCGATGTAAAATGATTATACATGAAACAAACTTAAAAATCTTCCACACTAATAGCGTATTCCTCTCTCTCTCTCTCTCTCTCTCTCTCTCTCTCTCTCTCTCTCTCTCTCTCTCTCTCTCTCTCGTGTACATTCAAAAAAAAAAAAAACAACAGTGGAGTCTGCTGTTGCTCGTTGTGGAACCTTGCGCCCTTTTCCTGTTTGAACGAGTGGTAGGGGAGGAGAAGGAGGAGGAGGAAACAACCTGCCTGTAACCACTCTGAACTACGAGCATATTCGAACAGCATTTGTCATCGGATCACTTCACAGTCTGAGTCAAAAATGTTTTGATCGCACTCGCAGAGCGTACCAGTTTTTTAATCTCTGAACTATAATTCCTGTTCCAAGAGCACTGAATTGTTTGGCTCAATATATTCAGCAACATCCAGAAACTTGTGAACTAATAACTGTCACCATATTTTGGCCATACTGGTTATAGACCAATTCTCGCCGTGTACAAATTGTTGCCATATTAATAACAACTCACGACCGCACGCAAAGTTTTGGTTCCTATTTAAAAAAAAAATAAAAAGAATGATTACAGCTGAAAAGCACGATCAAAAATAAGCATCAGGATAATATTATTAACAGTTATTATTATGATGGCGACAATTGGTACGCGGCGAGAACTGGTCTATAACCAGTAGTCTTTCCAGGAAACTCAAAGTTCTTCTTAACCAGCTCAGCGTTGAAGGTGCCAACTCTTTCGTCCAAATGACTGCTGTAGCGGTCCCGAGGTAAAATCAATTCACTCGATTCTTATCCCATCTGTGTCATTTTTCAATCAACTCTATTAAAGGCGCTCCGTATAGATGCGTTTCTTACAATGCCACATCAGCGAGATCTTGTTGAAGAATAGTGGTGAATCGCAACCTTAATAACTTTTTGGTATCGCTAATTTTCATCCTGACCGCCATTAACGGTGAACACAAGAATCGGATTGACAAAGCCATCAATACAAATGACGTTGACCAAGCCATCAATACACATGGCGTTGACCAAGCCATCAATACAAATGACGTTGACCAAGCCATCAATACACATGACGTTGACCAAGCAGTCAATACACTTGACGTTGACCAAGCCATCAATACACATGACGTTGACCAAGCCATCAATACACATGACGTTGACCAAGCCATCGATACACATGACGTTGACCTTCTAATGACGAACCGCGCCTCGGCAAATTACGAAGGTAAAGTTTTCTTCGACATATGATAAGCCATACATCCTGAACTGTTCAGTCAACTGATTTAATGTTTTGATGCTTCTGTAGACATCACTATGTCTTTTCTAATGATAAGCTGATCCATGCATAATAAAGTCCAGAATAGCTTTCATTAGTAACCGGTGATCCTCTTCAATTATTGGCCTTCCAGATCTGGTCCTGATATTCAGAGATTTACGCAGTTAGGTGTTTTCTTCCAACACAGCATTCAGTTTCCTTTTAATTCATAACTTGGTGTCTGTGACCTTTTTTGATCGTCATTTATCCTCTTTAACTTGACCCTGTTAATCTATAAGAATTTCTCGTTTCAGTCGTTTATACAAGCCGATCAGATCTATAATGAAGACATCAATCTGCGACTGCATCTATATTTACAATTCTCTTCGCCGCTGAATTCCAATGATAGGCGTGGAATCAGCAGCAGAGAAAACTTCTTCGACCAAACCGCTCACCAAAAAAACTGAGCAGAAATCTTGAGAGAAAAAAATGTAATGAAATTCATTATACTTAGCTGAAAAGCTCGTGAGTATCTAACAAAGACACTTAATTTATTGGTCCATAATCAATTCATTTTGAATTGTTAAAATTGAGAATTTGTGCAAAGTTTATTCAACTATTTCGCGCGAGCAGAGAAAAAGACTTGTGTAGACTGGTGGGACTTTATCTCTGCTTTCGAGGATGGTTGATAGCATAGTTGTCACGGCGTGGCAACGGCATTGAGTTTTGTTTCTCAGCAAATCGACCAAACAATCAGCTCTTAGCACCACTACGCAAGTGATTCCGATACCGCACACTTTTTATGCGATACTGTGATGCTTTTTGTTTACATTTTCTCTGGTAGATGACGCTGGTGTCGTTTATGTGACGTAACATTTTATTTAAAAAATTACCGCATCGTCACACAAGTAGGACTCCCCCTCCCGCTGCGTTATGTCATATAGGGAAGGGCCCCTAACAAAATGATCAATTCGCTATCAATACCAGAAGACTATCACATAAACACCGTCTAGTGACTGGTCTGATTTCATTACGAGTTCTGTTTGTTGTTGTTTTCAAATAGTAAGATACGCGTTACGTTTTTCACCAAAAACATGTATTATAATCACAACGTTTGCGATGACTATTGGTATCGGTGATGGGAATTGAAACATAAGAATACGCTGTCATTTTCTTTTCTCCTTAATCGTTTTTATTGTCTGAATTATTAATGATTAATAGTTGAACACTAAATGAATTAATAATGGTTTAACACTAAAACGTTTGTGGAGCAAGCATTATA